GGGCCAAGAAATTCATACCTTAAAGAGGAAGGGAGGGGTTTTAATTCTACCTTTGGTGCATTATCCTCTTCACAAATAGAACCTTTTGGCTCTAGCATCAATCTTTCAAGCTTTGCATTTCGAAGTGGAGCAGTTGATGTTGATTCTAAAGATTGAGCATACGCGGCTACCTCGGGGTCTTCATCATTTATTGAACCATCACTTACCAAACATTTCTCAAGTGGATCAGCTGAGTTATTGTTTGCAATTTGCTCATGTGTACACTTGTCAATGACGTCGACCCTGTAACAAATTTTATCAGTTAGAGGGAGTTTCATAGTATTACTTAAATCAAATTCTACCGTCTCCCCTCCAATATTTAAAGAGAGCCTTCCATTTTTAACATCAATTATAGCACCTGCAGTAGCAAGGAAGGGTCTTCCTAAAATAATTGGAATGTTAGAATCTTCTTCTATTTCCAAGATAACGAAATCGACCGGGATAAAGAACTTACCGACCTGGATAGGTACATCTTCAAGTATACCTACCGGATATTTTACCGATCGATCCGCCAATTGGAGTGATATCGTGGTTGGCTTCAAATCACCTATGCCAAGCTTCTTATAAATAGACATCGACATCAAACTTACGCTTGCACCTAAATCACACAAAGCACGGTTAATAGAGACATTACCAATAACACAAGGCTAAATCACACAAAGCACGGTTAATAGAGACATTACCAATAACACAAGGAATAGAAAATGAACCTGGATCCTTAAGCTTAGGAGGCAGCTTATTCTGGATGATAGCACTACACTCCTCAGTAAGGACCACAGTCTCGTATTCTTTCAACTTCCTTTTGTTAGATAGGATCTCTTTCAAGAACTTAGCATTAGAAGGCATTTGAGAAATAGCTTCAGTGAACGGGATATTGATGTGCAACTTTTTTAAAATCTTTAAAAATTTTCCGAACTGTTTTTCTAACTTAGCCTTAGCTAACCTTTGGGGAAATGGTAGAGGAGGCTTGTAAGGAGCGGGGCCCACATATTTTTTAACTTTTTCTTCTTGCGTTTAGGTCTCATTATCCACATCTTACATTTTCATTTTTTTCTTCATGATGACCATCCATCCCATCATTTTCCTTCATTTTGGGTCCCTCATATTGTTTTCCACTTCTAAGAGTTATAGCATTCACATGACTCCTGGGATTTGTCTCGGGTTGTCCAGGTAGCATGCCTGAAGGTCTAGAGGAAGAGCTAACATTTTGTGCCAATTGGGTGATTTGTGTCTCTAACATCTTGTTATGCGTAGCTAGGGAATCTATCTTAGAGGCCAATTGTTTTACCACCTTATTCGTGATTTGTTGTTGTTGCTTAAACTCTTCATTCAATTTTGATTGAGTCATCACAAACTTCTCTATCATATTTTTCAAATTTGACTTTTGAGAAGGGAAATTGGATTGAGGAGCACGAAAACCAGGTGGACCAAAATTAGATGCAGGCATGGGATTTCCAGGTGGGTTTCTATAAGAAAAATTAGGATGATTCTTCCACCCCGGATTATAAGTATTGGAGAATGGCTCTCCCTTCTGATTAAAGTTATTAACATAGTTAACTTGCTCATTACCAGAAGTATCAATGGATGGGGGGTTTCCTAATTGATATTGAAGTGCAGAATGACCCACATAGCCACATATCTCACATGAAATTGAAGTAGACGCCACAGAATTAATACTCAAGCCTTCGACTTTCTTAAATAAAGCATCAACTTTAGATGATATATGGTCTAAAGCATTTATTTTATACTTGTCTCCTTTTGATGTCTGAGGAGCACGCTCGTTCGCCCATTGATAGTGATTATGAGCCATGTCTTTAATGAGAGTATGCCTCGTCTATTGTTTTGTTCATCAAAGCTCCTCCTGCAGCAGCATCAACAGTCATCCGTGTGTTGTAAGTGAGCCCATTGTAGAAGGTGTGAACAATTAACCACTTCTCCAGTCCATGGTGAGGGCATTGTAGAAGGTGTGAACAATTAACCACTTCTCCAGTCCATGGTGAGGGCACATCCTCAATCATTCCTTGTAGCATTCCCAAGCTTCATAAAGTGACTCTCATTCCTTCTGTACAAAGCTTGTGATCTGGTTCCTCATCTGTGCTGTTTTACTTGGAGAAAAATACTTTGCAAGAAACGCTCTGGATAATTGATCCCAAGTGGTGATGGACCCAGCTGGCAATGAGTGCAACCAAGCCCTAGCCTTGTCCCTTAGAAAGAACGGAAATAATCTAAGTCGAATAGCATCATTGGTCACTCCATTAAGTTTCAAAGTGTTGCAATACTCTAAGAAAATCGATAGATAGAGGTTCGGGTCTTCAGTAGCACCTCCTCCAAACTGATTCTGTTGAACCATTGAGAGCAGTGATGGTTTCAGCTCAAAGTTATTAGCTTCAACATTGGGCCTTGTAATGCTTGACTGTGTGCCTTGAGCATTTGGGGCTGCAAAATCCTTAAGAAGTTGATTTTGATCTTCCATCGTAGGTTGTTCTGTGTTTCTTTGCTCCCTTATAGACCTTCTTATGTTTGCAAGAGTCACCGATAGTTCAGGATTGTTTTCGTCGTTTACTTTTGTTTGATTCCCTTGCATAAAAGAAAGTGAGAAGCAAAGAGAAATAAAAAAAATCTAGTCTAGCTTAATAACGTAAGCACTCAATATTAACACCGTAGTCCCCGGTAACAGTGCCAAAAACTTGATAGGTAAAATCCGCAAGCGCACGGACTCGTTGTAGCTATCAAGGTCGATCCCACAAGGACTAGGGGAAATCCGCAAGCGCACGGACTCGTTGTAGCTATCAAGGTCGATCCCACAAGGACTAGGGGTTATCTACCGAGTTTCACGTTTTCAACTAGCTAAATCTAATGAGTGAATTAGAAGAGATGAAAATTAAAAGAAATAAAATAATAACTAATCAGGTGGAATTCAATATAATGAATGACTAGGATTGGGTTATCACCACAACTTAGTGTTCAATGATGAATTATTTTAATTCTTGGTGTTGGTTTAATCTAAAAAGGGTGAATTAGCCTAAAGTAATCTAAAGCCTCTTTCAAGGTCTAAAGATCGTGCCTAATCAATCCTAATTAACCTACTTTCGTGGAATCAAGATTAAATTAAACCAATTAAGCTTTATGCTAATCCTAATCAAAGCCCCAAGAAATCTAGCCTACTTTCGTGGTTCGAGTTTCCTGCTTAATTTCTAGGAATCCAGTATTAATTTTTACCTTTCAGTTCTTCAATTAATTACCTATGATTGCTAATCCGGTGATCAAGTGAATCAACAAGATTAAAACACAAGAAATTAAGTTTAAAGATCTAAACTTTCACCAAGAACATATATTAATTCATCATCAATCATCAAAAAGTTGGGTTCTTTCCCAACCCTAGACAAGAAATCTACTCACACATGATTGGAATAAGAGAATACATCAAATAATTATGCAAATCAATCATAAGAAAAAATTAATCAAAGAGAGGAAAGAGTTAACCTGTCTTTCAATTGAAATCTTCAAAGTAAAAACTTGCAATCCAATCTTCTACAAAAGATTAATGTCTTCCTTCAATACTTGAACCCTAGAGTAGTTGCTAATTGATGGCTAAAAGAAGAAAACAAAATATATCCCAAAACCCTAAGTCAAAACATCCATTTATATGTCCCTAAAAATCTGTAAAATAACTAATTCCCGCGCCACAGGTGTGGTCTGCACCACACCAGGGTGTGGTAGGGGCTGTTTTGCTGATTTTGTGCTTGTTTCTTTAGTTTTCGGTATTTTGGCTATAACTTTTGCGTCCGACCTCGGAATGAGGTGATTCAAATTGCGTTGGAAATCTGTTGAAGAGATCTACAACTTTCATCTTTTGAGTTTTTCTTGATTCGAACTGCATCATGGTCGAAATTCCAGTTCTTCATACTCGTGCATCCATTTTCTTCACGAACCATGCCTTCGAAATCTTGTTGTTGCTTTAAACTCTTGTATAACTTCCAACGATCATCAAATCTTTCAATTTTGAGCCAATACCTACATATAAGAACACAAACCACAGGAGTATCCTCGATCTAAACACGAAATATGCATTAAACACTCGTAAATCATGCTTGAAACACACTAAGATAATGCATATTTTACGTGTTTATCAACTTTTGAAGTACACATGCTTAATTGCCGTTGGTTTGTAGCAAATGAAAATGGACAAAAATAGAGGGTAACCGATGAAAATTGTGGAATTTTTAAACACGCATACTTAATTGCAATTGGGCCAAAATGGACAAAGATCGACAAAAAATGGGTTATCATGCACGAAACTTGCAAATTTGAAGTACTCATACTTAGCTACTGTTGGATAAAAATGAATGAAAATAGGAAGAAAAATATGGTTTATAGCCTATGAAACTCGCGAATTTAGAAGTACCCATATTTAATTATCATTGGGTTGATACGATTAAAATTGAATAAATTTGTGGTTTATAGTGCATAAAATCGTGAAAAGTGTGGATATTGAAACGAACAAGCATAGACAAAAATTGTGGGTTAGAGCCCACAAAAGTTGTAAATGTTGAAGATGTCAAACTTAAGTCCCATTTGGTTGAAAAGAACGAAATGGACAAAAATCGTGGTTATAGCCTAGAAAAATCGCAAAATTTGAAGTACGCATAGTCAATTATCATTGGTTCGACGTGAAATCAGTTCTCATAAAGAGTCCATGTTTGCTTTGAACATATATCTTGATGAAGAATATTCTCAAACTGAGCATCGTGAGGAACAATCTTGATTATTGTGTCTAATGATGAATCTCATTCCTTTCCTGAAATTCGAGTATTACAATTTCAATCAATTGCTTATATTGCTAAGTGAACCTGCGCTAATAATTTAATCCAATTTAACTCATCTTCAGGGATATAAAGGATCAATTATCAAAATCCGTACGTGATTTATCTAATTCTGTCCACTTTTTGAACCTTTTGCAGGATACTTATCCAGGTTGCATGAGAATTATGGACCCATTGTAAGACTTTGGCTGGGTCCAACTCAGCTTCTTGTGTCGGTGAAGGATGTTGCAGTTATTAAGGAGATACTCATAAAGGCTAAGGATAAATATCCATTAACAGGGAGAGAATTCCGTTTGGCTTTTGGTAGATCAAATATCTTTGTCTCCTCTTTTGAAAAGGTATATACCATTTCTAGTAATAGGCAGGAATTTTTTCCTCTTCCAAATGAGTCATTGTCCCTTCCTGCAATCTGTCTAATATGAAAGGAACGATGGCTGTTCGTCAAGGGTATTATAATATTTTGTATTCCTTTTTATTCATTTGGTCTTCTATTCCACTGAAATTTCTTCCCTCCCTCCCCTTCCCTCCCTCCCTCCCTCCCTCAGAACTCCTATCAATCTTAATGCATCACAAATTATGCGTTGACTTTTGGTGGTAGTGGTGCATAGTCATGGAAGTTAAATACATCTTTTTGTTCGCATTTGCCTGGAAATTGTTGGCCTCTTTACAATATGTTACATGTACATTACTGATAGGTACAAGAGGGAAGGAATTATTTAACAACATTTATGAATGAAAGGCTACTTGAAAGAGTGAACACAGTTCCTTTGAAGGTTGTCGAGTGCGTCCTAGGAAGAGTCGAATCTGCTATGTCTAAGGGTATTCTTGATTGCAGATCACTCTCTCAACATGTATCATTTTACATCCTTGGAGCCGCACTTTTTGAAGAGGCATTTTTTAATTGGTCTGATGCAACTCTGTATGAAGAGCTTCTTTTAATGATATCTAAAGATGCTTGTTATTGGGCCTCTTATAAAATTCCTCCTTTCTGGAGAAGAAAATATTGGACATACCAGTTTCTGTGCACAAAGTTAAGGTGCTTAACCCAAGATATTATCCAGCAATGTAGATATAATAGTACTATAACCCAAATAAGTCAAAGCAGCTATGAGGAGGTGAAAAGTATTGGAAAGCTGAGTGGGAATGGTGGGGCCACCTTATTTGGTAATTTATTATCTGGTAACAGTTCACTCAATGAAGGGGGAAAGGGGCATCTTGTCTCGACTGGAGAACCTTTTGGAGATATCTTAGGTATGATGTTCCACGGATGTTCGACCATCACTAACTTGCTTTGCAGCATTCTGACTAGGCTTGTATTGCATCCAGAATTGCAATTGAAGGTATGTCTCTTAGTTTTTTTTAGTCTTTTGCATGTGAGAAGTTTTTAATTTGTAATTTATTAGATCATTCACCCGGGTCACATTTAATCATTCTCTCTTTGTATTTCCCTGCTGGATTCTGAAGTGAAGCAGAGGACATGCAGCTCAAAAATAAATAATTTATTTATTCCTCTAATCCTTGTTAGATTGGATACTTCAAATGCAATAGATATGCAGTTGTCTTACTTTTTTGTTTTGCATTTCTTCCCCATCTTTCGTAGCACAGATATTCTCGGAGATCAAAGAAGTGCAACAAAGAACATGCAACCAAGATTCATATGATGTTCAAAAGATGCCTTTATTATTGGCCACTGTATATGAATCAGCTCGTCTTTTACCACCTGGCCGCTTGCTGCAGAGATGCTCACTGAACCATGGTATGTTTTCTGCATGTATATTCTCCCACATTGTCACTTCCTGTGAACAATTCACATGTTATATGTCTAATCTGATGATATTTTAAACATTTTTCTTATTATTGTCTTCCATCAACTTGCACTCAAAAGGGGTGTACAAATGCAGTATTATGAGTTAGCCTTAAGCTATCTATATGCATCAGAAGTTTGTGGTTTTCACAAAGCTTAAAAACTCTACCTAAAAATCACGGGGAAACATAATAGTGAAAATTCCATGTACGTACTTGTGTAGTGCTAATATAAACATATCTTAATATAAGCTCTATATTGATCATGTCTGCAATATCTAAGAGTCAAAAAGACAGCTGGTTTTTGGGCAGTGCTTTCTCCTGGTTAGAAGAATGTGGATTCTCATGTCAATAATATCATGCTTTTGTCCTCTTAGCTTCTTCTGCCATTGTCTGTAACTTAGATTTGTTTTCTTCTTCTTTTTTCTTTTTCTTTTTCCTTTTTTCTTTTTTTTTCTTTTAGTGTTGGGGGTGCTTTTTTTTTTTTGGGGGGGGGGGGGGAGGAGGGGGGCGCGCGGGGGGGGGGGGGGGGATTGTTTGGTGTTATTTTTGTTCCTGAGTTGCCTTTTTTTGTTAAACAGTGTTGTTTTTAATGTACAAAGATACAGTTTTTCTTGTTACTTTCTTTTCTCTACTTTTTTTTTTATAAATGAATAAACTTCATTAGCCAATGAGCTATGTATAGAACAAATCTCAGAAAACTGAGAATACACCTATCTCACAAAAAGAATCTCAACAGGTATATATGTACTTATCTACAGAATGAAACGGAATTTTGGCTTTGAAAACTCTGAACAAAACTTCCGTTTGATCACAGCAACCAAATTGGCAGCATTAGATGAACACTGAGCAAAAGACCTTCAATTCCTCTCACAGCAGAGATGATAAATGCAGGCAGCAACACTTTGTAGAAGGACTCACCTCCGACGACCCTCCGACGACGGCG